CTGAGCTCGTACCAGAGCTGACTTCACTTGTTCTCCTCTTGGCAGGGACCTTATGTCTATCACCCGATGTCTGAACATTGTTATTTAATGTACTGTCTAGGTTTTCCTGGCTGTTTGCTGCAGTAGGGTACGTTTGGCCTCTGCTAACCTGCCATGGCTGGACGCGCAAGTCTTGCTGTCATATTGTGATGGATGTGTTCTGAGAGTCTTACTGACATGTGTGTCACCACATGTGCCTTTGCAGCACAGGGGCCCTACACCATGCTTCCTCTGCACACTCTAAACACTCAGTTACGAGTGTACCCGCAGGCGATGGCAAAGTGCCGAGGGGGTCATCGCCTCCCTCCAGTCAGATCCAGGGCAGGGATGGAGAGGCCGGCAAGTGGCAGCTCCAGGCATCAGGATGGAACGGGGCTGAGGCCAACACTCAGTGACTGTGTAAGCAACAAAGTGAGATCAAGCCACACAAGATGTATGTCCAGAAAACCCTTCAGGGTGAGCTTTCTGTCATACCGACTTCCTCCTCAGATATCAGGGATCAACACAGACTCTGCCAGAGGGTGGGGACTGACCTGGCACAGCGCGATGCATGATGGGAAAGCTTCACCTTCTCCGCCCACGCTCCTGACGTCTGTGTTTCTGCTGTTTTCCCCCTTCTTGCCCTTTCCAGGCCACATGGCAGGGGGGCAGGATAGAGGAAGAGAGTGAACAAGAGGACAGGAAGTACAGTTGGCACGGACGCCGGAGAATTGTAGGCAAGCGGCTCTCTCTCTATCCCTCCCTCCCTCCTTCTGTCTCTCTCTCTGGCAAATATTATAGTAAAGCAGAATGATGGCACAAGTATGAGAATAACAAAGGATGCTTCTTCCTTTTCTGACTGAGTTTGTTTCAAATGACAGATTTCAGAGTCCCTCCCTCTAAGACTCCGGCTCCGTCCTTCACTTGTGCCCTGGGAACTTTCTTGAGCCTGTCCCCATGCTTTGCTCCCCTCGGCACTCGCAGCACGCCGCATGCTCAGTGCAGGTTGTACGGTAGCGGTCAAGCCGCCCTGGCTGGGCTGGTCGCACTGTTTCACAAGCATGCGATGCTCACGATTCCTTTCCAGCTGGAGCCGTACCGGTCACCTGCAGGAGCTGTCCCTTCGTGCCAGCCCTCGGCCGGCAGTCTGCTCGTGCCCCAAGGACCCAGGGTCTGTCCACAGTCTCTCCTGACCATGCCGGCCTTGACCTTCCTTGCCTCACTCTGGCTTCGGAGGATTATGATGTGTCTGCTTCGGTACATTAGTGATTAGTGGTTGCTAAATGGAGTTATTTGTGGCTTTCAAGGAGAAAAAACATATAATATTTTACACACACACACACATTCCTACTGCCTTTCGAGGCCAGACAGTCTTATTCAGTGTATCATGAGATTGACCTTCACATTCAAGCTGAAAAAAATTCTGCCAGAGATTCTCACGTGCCCTCATGGGTGAAAAATCACTGGACTGCTTCGTAAAGTGTTTTCAGGCTAGGACTATAAATTATAGCTATTTTGGACCTACCTTCACTAAGTTTTGTTCAGGAGAACCTTGCTGAACGTACTGAAGTTGAATGAGCAGGAAGATTTTTGAGCAGATCAAATCTGAGGTTTTGCCCCCGCTGATGCTGCAGGTCAGGAGTCGATGTCGTCTGGTGGAGCCCTGCATCTGTGTCATCGTCTAGGGCCGCTTGCAAGCTGCCAGGGCAGCTCTGAGTAGCTGTGACACAGACTGTGTGACCTGGCCCTTCCCAGAGAGGGCTGCTGAGCCCTGTTCTCAGTGCATATTTCTATGTGGGGCACACGCTGTGGATGGTGTGCAGATGGGCCGGGGTGCTTTAAACTGGTTCTGAGAACACTTGTCTTCACTGTGGTGTTTTGCTTTCTTTCCTCCTTAGATTCGCCTCGTCCTGTGAACTCTGCTGGAGAGCCAGGGACTTGAAGTCCCTTCCCTTCGACACCAGGCACGGGTTTCCGCCCAGGTCAAGCGTCACGATGAACGTGGTGAGCGTCTGTGTGATGTTGGCTGGGAATACAAATTTGGTTCTCTTGTGGATCCTTGACAATTGCAGCCCCGCTAACTTTGCCTTCATTCACTTTTCAGGAACCAAAGAATTCCACCAGCCCCTACGATGACTACTATTTGGAGTCAAGTAGCACTGAGGATTATCCTGATGTCTTCGTATGCAGCTTGCAGGAGGTCAGGGAGTTCTCCCGGCTGTTTGTGCCGATCGCGTACTCCCTGATCTGTGTCTTTGGCCTCCTGGGCAACACTCTGGTGGTGATCACCTTCGCTTTCTACAAGAAAGCCAAGTCTATGACTGACGTGTACCTCCTGAACATGGCCGTGGCAGACATCCTGTTTGTCCTCACGCTTCCCTTCTGGGGAGTCCACCATGGCACCGGCCAGTGGATTTTCAGCAACGTCACGTGCAAACTGATGAAAGGCCTCTACGCCGTCAACTTCCACTGTGGGATGCTGCTGCTGGCCTGCGTGAGCGTGGACCGCTACATCGCCATCGTGCAGGCCACCAAGTCCTTCCGCCTGCGGTCCAGGACCTTAGTGCACCACCGGGCCATCTGCCTGGCCGTGTGGGCGGTGTCCATCCTCATCTCCAGCCCCACCTTCATCTTCAGCCAGAAGTACAACATGCAGAACAGGGACGTCTGCGAGCCCAGGTACCACCCGGACTCTGAGCCCGTCCACTGGAAGCTGCTGGTGCTGGGGCTGCAGCTGCTATTTGGCTTCTTCATTCCGCTGGTGTTTATGATGTTTTGTTACCTGTTTATCATCAAAACCTTACTGCACGCCCAGAACTCTAAGCGGCACAGAGCCATCCGCGTGGTCATCGCCGTGGTGCTCGTGTTCTTGGCTTGTCAGATCCCTCACAACGTGGTGCTGCTGGTGACCGCTGCCAATCTGGGCAAAGTGAACCGATCCTGCAACAGCGAGAAGCTGATGCGTTACACCGAGAACTTGACCGAGGTCTTGGCCTTCCTGCATTGCTGTCTCAACCCTGTGCTGTACGCATTTATCGGTCAGAAGTTCAGAAGCTACTTCCTGAAGATTATGAAGGACCTGTGGTGCGTGAGGAGGCCACAGAAGGCCACAGGCTTCTCCTGCTCCAGGCTGTACTCCGATACCTTCATCTCCAGACAGAACAGCGAGACCGTGGACAATGACAACGCGTCTTCCTTCACTATGTGATGCGCCTTGGGAAGTGCTGTGGACGTGCACGGCGAGGAAGAAACACGGCAAAAGCCCCCTGTGCCCACGGGACAGGACCGCACTACTGTCGGGCTGCAGGGGTGCGCGGGCTCTGAGACGCAGCGTTTCCCAGATTTCCTTCTCCAGAAACACTTGGGGACTCTGCAGCCTCTTACAGCTGGCAGTCCCCAAAACATCCTCTGGGAAAGACTGAATTAAAGGGAATTGTTTACATGCATGAACATTTTCAGAAATAGTTACAAAGCAGTCCTAGACTCCAATTTCTTGTGGTCACAGCAGAAAGCCACATGGGTTGAAAAACAAAAAAAAACCAACCAAACAAACAAAACCCAAACAAAACACAAATGAAAGCCCTCATACAACTCATTTTAGGCAAAAGGTTACACTTTTTATCCATCCAGATGTTTACTGTTGCTACTTACGAGCAGCTCATGGCGCCTTGACTTGGAGCTCAACCCTCTGATGCACTTGACAAGTACGCGCTTGCAAAAAGGCAGCAGAAAAACAAACTCAGGAGAGAACAAGCTGGAAACACTGTGAAAAGACAGAAAAGTGGCTAGATAAGTACGAGGGACAGTTGTCACATGGATCAGGCCCTTCAGGCTGGGATGGGCCATCAGGAAAGTGAAAGTTTCCTGTATATCTGGGCAACGGGTAGTTCTTCGAAATCCGTCAGACCGAGAGCTCTAGGAAGATGGGCTGCCGACAGCACACGTCCAGCACACAGAGGGGCTTAATTATCTGTTTAACAAATCACAGTGGAATGTGATTTGTTAAATGTGCAGCTTAAAATATTAGGTCTTTAAAATTCTTTTATAAATATAGTATTTTTCTTTAAAAAAAAAAGAACAAGGACACTTTACTGAGAAAATATAGCAAGAGCTTCTGTGCCATGTCCGCAGAGGAGCGGAAGGCGTGAGGGATGCTTAGGAAGCGCCTGCTGGTGGCTCAGAGCGCCAAACCCCGCTGGCTTCTGCTGTGGGTTTTCAAGTGGCTTTACCTGCAGCCTGAGGTGAATCAGGAATCAGATTTCAACAGCTCTCTTCAACTTCGGAGAACTCATGTTTGGAAGCGGTGTGTAAATAGATGAACATAAGTGGGAAAATACGAGCGTGTGTGACAAAAAGACAGACATGTACTAGGAAAATACTGACCTAAGCTGCAGACACTGATGTGTTTAATACTGACAGACATGCTCTTGGAAACTTTCTCTTGTTCTCGTAAGCTTTAACTAGGTCTCTATATGAAATCCAAAGCGATACCTTAGGGCTCCGAGTCTGTGTGTTTAACACATGGTTTTGGCTTTGCAAACTCAAACTATGTGAGGTAGGAATTGTCTTCCAGCTTCGGTGTTCCGTCTGGGGGACTGGTGTTGCAGGAGCTTGCATCCTTCAAACCTGCCAGTGGTCGACTCCAGGAATCAAGCAAAGAAGACATGACTCAGATGCTCCTTTCATTGTGACCGATGCTTGGATACAGTGACACTTCTATCCTGGCACAGAAGCATCTTGCTTACTTGGCATAACTAGGAAATGAGCTCTTCTTTAATAATTTAAATCTTCAGATAAGTGAAGCTTACCTCTTTATGCAATAGCCCTTTTAAAATTTTAGCCATAATGAATAAAAATGTTTCTAAAATGTACCATATGCTTTATTTCATTAAGCAGCATCTTTTTTCCTAGCTGCCTCGGGCGTCTCGTAAGTCAGGCACATCGGTAACTGTTTGGGGCTGCCATGCGGCGACACCCCCAGGACTTGGGGCTATGTAGGCGTGTGCTTATGCATAATCACATCTATTTGTGCTGACCAGAGAGTTTCTCCTGGTCCCTGCCAAAGAGTTGAGACGGTCTCAGTCAGTTAATTTTTGGATACCTGAGATTTCACCATACGTGCGTATAAATCTCAACAGAGGTGGAAACTGAGGCACTGAAGTATCCTCTTGCAGATCGCACACCTTGGTGATAGGCTCTTAAGTATTGCCGTGCAAACTGCATGCTGATTTGCTTGAGGATAGACAGGCTAGTTTTCCAATGAGGCCAGGAAAGCACCACATTTTCATCCTTTTCAGATGTCTAACAGCACGTGCATCTTGCACAGACTCTGGCCTGAGTGAACACATGCTTATGCTTGCAGGACACAAGCTCATCCACTTGCTGGGGCCGCCATGACAAGGGGCTGGAAGTTCAAGATCCAGGTCCAGGGACTGTCTCCTTGTTGTGCAGATGGCCGCCTTTCACTGCGCTCCCACGTCCCTGCTGTCTCTGTGTCCTGATGTCCTCTTCTTATCAGGACCCCAGTCCTACTGGACCAGGGCCCACCCTAAAGACCTCATTTCACCCTAATCACCCCTGTAAAGGTCCTGTCTCAAATGGTCACATTCTGAAGACTGGGAACTTAGGACTTCAACATAGGAATTGGGGGCGGGGGGGGGGACACACAATGCGTCCCATAAATACTAGTTTTCTGAAGGTAGAACAACTCTTCATATTAAAGTTAATTTCAAACACTTGAGAATTCACTTCCGGGTACTTTCTTCCTTCCCGATAAGTTGTGTTGCAAATAGTTGTCCCCACATCAGTTTTTTCAGTTTTCCAGACGCCTATCCCCATAGAATGAAGATGACAAAGGACACGTGGGCTCAGGTCAACCGTACCTACCTACTAACCTGTACAGCCACTGAGCTCCGTCTAACGCCCACTCCTGCGGGTTACACTTCCTCTGAGAAAGTCTTCAGTGTCATGATGCCAGGGGCCCATCTGCTGCCCTCCATCGTGCCCTGGAGGGCTTCTCCTGCCCCCACCTCTCCTGCAGTGCAATGGGCATTCCCCTGACCTCAGTGGCTTCCATACTCAGTGCAGACACTGACCCTCCTCTAGGGAACCTCAGAATGGTGGGCATCGGTGTGCCCCACTGACACCCAGGGCAGTCCCGGCTTGTGACTCCAGGGTGGTCTCTTGTCACAGTCCAGTCCCTAGAGCACTGCACAGCCTGCCTCCCAACTCTGGGAAGAGTGGCAGTTGGGGTTCTGTCAGACTATTTGCATCATTACTCCCTGCCTCTGAGCAGTGCAGCTCCTCTGATGTGGTCTGCACGCTGCTCCCTGCCCCGGGGAACCTGGCCTGCATGCTGTGTGCTCAGGGATTTGACACATCGGGGGGCTGCAGCACGCAGAGCTCAGTGGCCTGCTGTCATCTGCTTTCACATTCCGTGATTCAGGATGCGCGCTGTAACACCTGCTGCAAATGGACAGGTTGCATTCTTACGTTCTTCCTTGAGTTGCATTTGGTAGTATAATAATTTTCCTGATGTCTTACTTACGTAATCCCATAAAAGAGCTAAAGCAGGAGCTGCCTCCTTTCTTCTCCCCTGGTCTGACCTCACACTCCAGGTAGGCAACCCAGGCAGGCCGTCCTCGTCCTGTTGTCCTCAAGTCCAAGCTGTCCTCATGGTCCAAGGGGGCTGCTCTAGCTCCTGCCATCGTCACATTCCATTCTAGCAACAGAAAGACAGAAACGGGAGCAGGTGGCCTTTCCTTTCAGGGCGCAGCTTGGAAGTTGTGGAAATCACGTCTCTCAACCTCTTGGCCCTCAGTTAGTCACGCGGCTGACCCAGGTGATGGACAGTCTAAGCATGCCCACCGCCCAGGCCGTGTGTCCCTACAGGCCGTCACAGGGACACGGTGGTCCCATCACCGCGCACGAGGGAAAGGAGGCTCCGGTGGAAAGCAGAGCTCATTTCAGAAAAAGAGCAGAGGCTGTAAAAGCAAGGAAACGGTTCAAGCTGCAGTGGGAGAGTCCTGCGAGCACGCGGCGGGGTTTGCAGGGTCAGCGCCGGCCCCAGAGCCCCGCGGGTGCCCGGCGGCCTCCCCGCCCACCTCTCGGCGGTCAGCGCGGTACCCGGGCCGGTCGGTCTGAATTTTCAGAGCCCTATATTTGGAACTAGGGTCACTATTTGCATAAGGAAGTTGCATTTTCTGCCTCCATTTGGAATGTTAGCTGGATTCCTGAATTCAAGATGACGTTTCGAGGTCCTGTCTCTGAACCCACCACGCACGCGAAGGAGGCGGCGCGGCGCTGCACGTAGCGGACACAGGCACTCAGGGGACCCCGACCGTCCTCCCCGCCCCACGACACGGGGCTGGGAGGCGAACGGCCGCTGGACGGGGCGCGGCCGCCCCCTGCTGGACGGAGGCTGCGCGCACAGCTCGCTCCCGGGCTTCGTGTTAATAGACTCTTAACACTGTAGCTTCTAACAACGGGTGTGCGATACTTACAATAATACCTAAGTTTAAAAATCTGACTGCAACATTGCTGCAATTTACTTTTTTCTTATTGCTTTTAATATTCATATAATAGTGGGTTGGCTCCTTCATTTTTTTTTTCTTTTTCGTTCTGTGACTACCTACATTCTGTTTTTGTGTATGTGTTTGCTTGTACGTTTGTTTTGGTTCTAGCACATTAGCAGCATGTGTTAATGAATGCATATATGGTTTGGTAGATAAGATAGCCATATATATTTTAGGACAATTTTTAGGGTAGAATAGCTAATAAAGAAGATATTTTATTTTAGAAGATGAGATATAATCTCCTACTCACCAGAAATTGTTCTAAATCTCTAAAATGAAGCAATCTCGTTTTTCTAGTTTTCTAAACTCCAGGTGTGTCGGAATTTGTTTTGCCCTAGTTATTAGGACAACAGCAATAGGCTGGCATGTGGGTGAGTCAAAGATTGTTCCTGCATCTGGGCGCATGGCGTGCTGGGTGGGGGCGGGAGGGGTGTTCTGTCCTGAGACACCTGCCAAAGGCTGACAGTAGCGCTCCATGCGAAGACTTGCAAGCATGGCCCTGCCTTTGGGAAAAGCGCTCTCAATGAGCTGTCCTTTCCTCGGCTGTCTACAATCCTGACTTCGAATGACCCTCACCCAACAGCAAGTGGCCACAGCTGAAGATGAGGCTTGAGAGCTACCAGCAGTGACCCTTCATGACCCAGCCTCTGGCCTCGCTCAGCAACCTGGGGAGCAGGGAATGAACATGGAAGTGGCCATGACCTTGTTAGCTATCTCATCGGCAGTTTGCCCCTGCTCGTCAATTCTTCTTCATCAGCTACAAATGACCTATTTCTGTGGCGGAGACAGCTGCCCCCACAGACCTGCTCTTCCCCAGGCACATAGCCTCCCCTGGCACGTGACTCTGTTCTAGACAGATGCTGAGTATAAGGGCAGTGCATCATTTCCAGGTCTGGCCCACACAGATGCCCGAGCATGTGCTGCCTCACTTTTCCCTGTTGGCTGGAATGGCGCTAACCCCAGGTGACCTTGGAAGCCAAGTGTTGCAAACAGCAGAAGCTGCCTTAGTCTGAATTCCCATGGAGTCTACTCCCCAGAGCTCCTAGGTGAACAAGAAATTAAATTCTATTATGTCTTAGCCAGCCTATGTTTTACTGTTATCTCTCCATGATGGAGCCTGTCCACAGGGTGCGGTCTCTCTGGACCTGACCGTCCTCCTACAAAGAGTCACCTTCCATCCCTGCAGGCTCTCCTACTCCCTTCCACTCACCCTGTCCTGACTTCAGAGCACAGAATCAGAGGAGAGGTGACACAGTGACAATTGGCTCAGCTCCACCAACTCCTGCCCACACGGAAGGTCCTCAGGCCCTGCCATCCAGGTGACGGTTCTCTGACAGGGTTCCCTGATACACGTGTCCCCTGGCCTATGGTTTCGGTGAAGACGAGACTTAAAATTGAAGCTGTGACAACTCAGTGGCTGCAAAACGAATTCGTGGTGGGCCTGGGTGTGGGTTTCTGGGATCCTGTTGTGGGGGTTCTTCTTAGTTTGTGAAGATAGTAACAAGCATTTTTCGATTTTCAAAAAGGCATTTCTGCACCTCACACCCATTAGGATGGCTGCTTTCAAAACACTCAAACAAAAGCCCCAGAAAATAAGTGTTGGCGAGGATGTTGAAAATGGGAACCCTTGTGCCTCGTCGGTGGGATTGTAAAATGGTGCAGCCACTGTGGAAACATGGCGGTTCCTCAAACAAAAAGCTAGAATTGTCACATGATCCAGCAAGCCCACTTCTGGGTAGACACGGAAAAGTGTTAAAGCAGGGTCTCGGGGAGATGTGTGTGCACCCATGTTCACAGCAGCATTATTCACAAAAGCAAGCAGGGAAGCACTCCGAGTGTCCGTCGCGGGATAAATGACAACCAAAGGTGCAACATCCATACAATGAAGCATCACTCAGCCTTAAACAGGAAGGAAATGCTTAAACATGGATGAACCCTGAAGACATTATGCTCAGTGAAATAAGCCATTAGCAAAGGACAAATGCTCTATGACTCCACGTCTATGGGGGACCTGGAGTCCTGAAATTCATAGAGACAGAGAGTAGAATGGTGGTGCCAGGGGCTGGGGGAGGGGCACGGGAAGGGGGGCTCACGTGTGAGTTTGGCAGGGTGAGGGGTTCTGGAGGTGACGGTGGTGATGAACGCACAGCACTGTGAGTGTCCCTAATGCCACTGAACCGTACACTGAAAAATGGTTGAGATGGTAAGTTTTATGTTATGTACATTTTACCACAATTTAAAAAGAGGCATTTTGAGGGTGACTATTGTTTGGGGACT